GAGACAAGTCTCTGCAAGCACTCTTTTCAGCTACATTGTGGCTTCCTTGTTTCTGTGAACAGAAAGCAAAGGCTGACCCTTGGTGTCCTTTGGTGTCCTTTGCTCTTGTGCAGCAGCAGGAGAGCAGGTGTGTTCTGCTTGCAGAGCCAAACCTGGGATGTCTCTTGCTGCAGTTATATTCTGAGATGTGCTGAGGCTGGGGGCAGCCATCCGATACCCTTGGATCCCTGATCTTTATTTTGGGTGGTTACATGTTTTTCTCCTCCTCTGTTCCTGTAGTTCACACTTCTTGTTGGTGTTTGTATCTAACAGTTTCTCCTATTTCTCACGACAGCTACAGCACTAAGATTGCAAGCATCCTCGGTGATGTGAGTGTTTCCTGCCCTGTTAAAATGCAGTTACCACTTCCCAGATTTCTGCAACCTGTCCTCACCTTCCACAAAGTGCAAATTTTAGTCATGTTCCTGCCACGCCAAGCCCTCAGGTCAGAATTGTGGCTCCTGACATAGCAATGGGGCTGAACCACTGCCCCATCTTGTTTATACTGCCTTGGGCATGGCTGATGAGGCGAGCAGAAACTGGAGATGGAGTAAGAGCAGATTTTTCCACTGGAGCTTTAAATTGTTGGAGAGGATGATGGATGATTCTACAAGTGTGGTCCCTGTGGTCTGTGCCACTGCGTGATGCTGTTTGAGAAGCAGGGGGCACCAGACCTGTGCTAGTTTACCCTGTGACCCACACCCATTCCTTTCTGTGCTCTCCTGCCCCTGCAGCCCTCCTCATTCACAAGCATAGACCTGGTGCAATCTGCTTGCAGCATTCTCTGGCATGAGCTGAATCCTCAGAGTATAAGAAAGATTCCATGCATCCTTGATGTCCTGAAGTACTGCTGAGGGCATGTGGAGAAGTTTACAGATCTGCTCAACAGGTGTGCAGAGCAATTCATCGCCCTTCTCTTGAGCTCCGTAGCTGAGCCGTGTGTGCTTTCTTCCAGGAAGATGAAAATATTGCTGTTGGAGATGGTAAATGTGTATCATACCTACAAATTACCAAGCATGCTTCTAACTCTTTTGCTAAGAGTTGTGCCACAGATGTGGCACTCCTGCCCTCCCCACGTGCCTTTTCTTTTCTTTTTTTTCCATGCTTTGTCCCATTTCTCTTATGATCTCTCATATAACGAGCTCCAATCAGAACTCCTTTTTGCCTGTTCCTCACCTGCTGAGCAGCACAGGGCCAAGACTCGCAGGGTCCTGGTGATCCCAGGGCAGTTATCAGTTCCTCCAGCGGTGGGGCTGATGGTACCATCACTGCAGCATGCCTGCACGAGCAACATCTCCATCTTTTGGGCACACCGTGCCTGCACAGCCTGCCTCAGCCCTGTGTTTTCTGATGGTCTGAGAGGTTAAGCAGAGGGCAGGAGCTTATACAGGAAGCAGAGGAGCTTGGTGAGGGCATGGGAAGGACCCTGAGGCTCTGCTGCATGGGCAACTGTGCTGTGCTTGGGAAATGTCCCGCTTGTTCCTGCCTGCAAGGAGTATCACTCACTGCTGCTGCTGGGCCTCTGCGCTGTGAGGGGCCGGCTGTGTGTTAATCATCTGCTGACCCTTCCCACACTGCTCTGCTGAGCTTTTCTTCCCTGCTGCATTTTTGACTGCCCTGTACATCCTATGTATTCTGTCTGAAGCTGCTGGATGTGCTGAGGGAGTACTGGAGTACTTGTTTCGCTGAAGTCATTTGACTTTGTCATTTGATTGCTCAGCGGCTTGCTTGGGGACAGCAGAGATGTTGGGGCCTCGTCTTTCCGCTGGGAATGCAGAGCAGGAGCTCATATGAGTATAATCCCATATTTTTCTACTGCATTTCAGTGACTGCACCCCAGGGGTTCAGGGGAGGTGGCAACAGAGCTGCTTATGCCTGGGGCAGAGCGGTGTAAACAAGAGAAATATCTGCAGCCCTGTTCTGGGGCAGATTTCTCTCTTGTGAGGCCCTGTGAGGTGCTGCTGAGGTTGGGTCCTGCTAGTGACAGAATGCTGCTGCAGCTCTTCCAGGTGCTGTGAGCCTCCATTACGCTTCTTTAGGAAGCAAGGAGTCTTGCAAATGCAAAGCTCTCATTAACAGTTACGTCACTGACAGAAGGAGCTGCCCCACATCCTGCCGGAGCACGGCATCCTGGGGGGGGTTTGCTCATTGTCCACATCCTTCCCTTCATGCCCCCTTCCTGCTGGTATCTAAACCCAATTCCACTTCTGTTTCCTTTGCAAGGAAGAGATGTCTGGAAATGCTCTACAACATGCCCAGCGCAGAGCAGTGCTGTGGGGCAGAGGGACTCTGTGGCCCTGGTTGGCAGCTGCCCATCTGCACCCACAAAGGGACCCTAAAGGGACAGCAGGGTGACCCCGTGGCCACGCAGAGGATTCCCACGTGGCACAGAGGCTGTAGGAGCCTCGGAGTGGCAAACATCTACTGCCACTGAGTTAGGAGAGCGATTCCAAAATGCTGTGATCAGAAACTTCAGGAAAGAAGTGGGAGGTTTGGCACTGCACCGTGCTGTTTGTGAGCTCTGCATCGACACGGATCTCTGTGCAGTAACTAAAATCCAGGGTTTTGTCATCTAGTTGCCTTTGCTGCATACACATGGCACAATCATCCACAATGGAACATTTTGGGGCTTTATGAGTTTCCAGAAACGCCTGTAGATGTATGTTTGAATGCCACGTCGTTTTGTGGTCGAGGATAAGGCTTGCAGTGCTAAGACAGAGGGACAAAAAGCCCACAGGGCTTCCTGTGTTCCTGGCTGCACGGCCTCCATGCAGTCCCAGCCAGGTGCTTGTGTTTGCTGAGCACTGAGAACACCTGTAGTCATCACTGTCTCTTGACTGCAGGAGGAACGTAGACAATGCTGTCAGATAAGATCCTTGCTTTCAGCTGACAAATATTAGCTGTGTGCTTCCCACATCCTGCCGGCTGATCAGACCGAGGCGTGCCAATTATAGACGTTTATCTCTTTCCCAGACAGGGAAGGGATATCTCTCATCTAATTTTAGATGTCTGCATGGTAAACCTCTGTCCCTGACTCCGACGGCCTGTGCTTTCCTTCTGCTCAGTGCAGAGAGATAAACAGCTTCATGGCACGTTTCCTCCAACCTGCTCCTCACATCTGCAGGGTGAGGTGGCTCAAAAGATCTCTGCCCTTCCCCTGCAACCCAAAGCAGCCCAGGCTGACAGCTGTGGATGGAGAAATTTACACCACAGGTGCTTTTGTGTGCTGGTGTGCATGAGAAGCACTTGGAGGCAGAGCAGCTCCCTACAAACCAGCTGGAGACGGTGGAGAGCCCTGCACAAAACTGTAAGCAGAGGTTTTTGTCAAGCATAAAACACACATCTGATGGCTTAAAAAAAAATAAAAGACGCTCCTTTAGCTCTTTAGGAAGGCAGAAAGAAGGGTGGTGGCGGTGCATTTCCTGTGTTCTTGATGGGGAGATGGTATCACTCTGGCAAAGCACCTAAAGAAAAACGCCCATTGAATGCCATACTCTTTTGCTTACTTTGCTGTTTTTTCCCCATAACTTCCTTATATTGTTTGTCTGTTCACCTCGCCACCTTATGCTATTCTCCAAGTGGCTCTTGCACTTATTTACACTTACTAAATTTCTTTTGTCCCAGATCTTTTGTCCACAGCAGCGAACTCTGCACCTGCAGCATGCAGCTCTGAGCCTCTGACCACACATGCCTGTGCTTCTGCTCCAGCACTTTGCACTGTAAGAGTTCCTCCTGACTGCAGCAGCCCAGGGACCAACAGCCCATCCCTATTGGCCCTCCTGCTGCTGTAGCCAATGGAGGTGATGTAGAACATAGTGTCCAAATGTGCTGGTTCACACTTAGACATGGCTGTGCGTCCCCACTGACTTCAGCCCGCTGATGATGAGGGAGCAGGCATCTAGCATTTAGGTGTATTAACTTAGCCTGGGTGAATGTAATCCCCAGAGATTTTGTGATTTGTAGATGAAAGGCTGGCTGACCGGCTCCCCACGCAGCCAGTTCTGCACTGGTTGGCTGTATGGAGTTGGTGGCTCCATGGGAAGGGAGGTGATGGGATGGAGGAGGTCCTGGCTGCAGCCTGGGGACTTCGGTGCACCTCCTGTGCACAGCTTTTCCTGCAGTGCGTTATGTTCTAGGTGCACTCCTAACGCAGTGTTTTAAATCCTGTATTAATGCTGCTCTGTACTGTTTTTCCAAAAATAACCTCATGATACACTGGAGTTCACTAGCCCAAAATACACAGAACACGGACAGTACTGTAAGTCCCAGTGCACAGGGATCAGACTCGGTTTGAATGGCCCCTTCCTCCAGGAAATCAGATGCAGAAAGAGCAAACGAGCCACTGCTCTCATAGCCTGCAGTATCTAATGACTGTGGATGGATCCTGCCACATTCCAGATTAATACCAGGGCCTTGTGACACCAAAGGCGGCTCTGAGCACCCGATGGAGCTGCAGCTGTCCCAGTTCATGGCAGGGGGCTGGATTACGGGACCTTTAAGGGTCCCTTCAAACTCAGTGATCCAGTGATTCTATGAAGGTGATGTTTTGGCTTCTGTGCCAGGCACCATGTGCCAGAGCCTGGCTCTCAGGAAATGCTGAGCAGGAGAGCAGCAGAGGTTTGGGGATAACTGAGCCTCATCACCCACCAGGGGTATTTGCACTTCCTTACAACTGCCATCGAGAAGCACGTTTGATTTGGAACAAATTTCAAGCAGGAACAAGTTTCGCCATCTGCATTTCCACTGTAAGCACAAGGAGGGACAAAACAGGTCGGAGCCTGCTTGGCTAAGGGTGGGGACCTGTCAGGAGCAGAGGGGAGGGCAGTGCATGAATCAGAGGCCGGGAGAAGGAAGGAGCGGCTGGGAGAGCCGACCTTCCTCCCCCTGGAGAAGGGATCTCCCAGCACCGCTGCCAGGTGCGCGCTGGCGGGGCCGAGCGGAGCCGGGGAGCAGCTCCTCCCCCGGGGTGGGAGGCTGAACCCGGTGATTAACGTGCGAAGGAGTGGAGCTCGTGCTGAATGCTGAAGGAACCTGTTGGGAGGAACTCGGGGAGGCACGAGAGGGCCGGAAATTACCTGGAGTCCTTCGGAGGACTAACGCAGCTGGAGAGGCACTGCTTAGCTCCGGTCATGTTCAACTACCTGGCAGTGGAGGTGAGGCCCCAGTCCCACCGCAGCTATGGGAGCCAGCAAGGGGTGTCGGGGCCGCTGAAGAACCGCCTGGAGCAGCTGAAGAAGCCGTGGTGGAGGGAGCCCACCCCGCTGGTGCTGCAGCACAGTGAGACAGCGAGGCTGGCCGTCGACGCCTTCCTGGAGCAGGGGGAGCGTGGCTACGTGAGTGCCATCACTGAGGAACGGGAACTGCCTTTTCTTTCCAGCCTGGACATGGAATATATGAGCCAGCAGAGAAGCCAGAGCTTTCCAGAGTCCAGTGCAAGGAGAGACAAAGAGGGTGAGCCTGCTGATGGAGATGGGTCCTCCCTCTACTCCGAGCTGACCTCTGGCACCTACTTTCCTCTCATGTCTGATGTGCACCCTCCAGAGCTGGAGCTGGGCTGGCCGGGGATGCCGATCGTCACCGTGACAGGCCAGACTCAAGCCACCATCATTTTCCAAAGAAACAAAGCTAACAGCATTAAGGATTTGCTCCGGTCTCTGATCAGCCGGGCACGGACGGTATGTACAGCGCAGCGTGGGCTCAGGGGGTCTCCTGTCCCGGCACAAATCCCAGTATCTGGTCCTACAGCTGCACGCCACCTGCTCCGAGCTGCTGCTGCAGTCTGGATGCCTGGCATGGTGCAGCTGCTCTTCCTCTATCAGATCTGTGACTCTTCCCGCTCCTTTCCTTCCCTGTAATTTCTTTCCCATTGGGATTTCATGTCATCCAGGCAGTGTGCTTTAAGGCATCCTGTCTGTGCTTGTGGGTGCGCAGAGCGCGGTGCCGAAGCCCGCAGCAAGCAGCAGGGCGCGCAGCGTTGGTACTCAGCTGTGCTCAGCCCGCAGCTGGGCCCCATCCGTTCCCCTCTGTGTGGCCTCAGGTCAGGGCTGTCTTGGCCTCTGGACCCCTCATGAGGTGGGACAGGAGGACAGCACTGGGGGTGCTGCAGGAGAACAGAGCGAACCAGTGGGATGAGAAGCCCTGCCTGTGGTTTGGGGTAGGCTAGAACACATCCTCATGTCTTCAGACTCCATGTGCGTGCTGCTCCGGGATGAGGGAGCTCAGCCCGTTTTGTCCTGTGGTGCCGTTCCTGCTGGGTGGGATCTCCAGCCCTCAGATGCCATCAGCACCATGCAGCTGCAGCGTTTGCCTATCGAGCACAGTCCTGCTGGGGATTTTCTTCTTCTTTTCACTCTGCTGTCATACAGCGTGCTAAAGCAGCCTCTCAGATGCATTTCCAGCTTTTATGAACCTTATACCCTTTATGGTTCTTTCAGTCTCTTCCGCGTTCATTTTTCTTTTGTGCTATTTTATTTCACAACTTCAGGGATACTGAGTTAACTTCCAGTGCAAAGTTCACTTCTAATCAGTCAGCTCCTCAGCAATTACTCTTATCACCCCAGTAATTTCTTGTTTCACTCTACAGGCATTCCTTAAGTGCCCGGTAGAGAAAGCAGGAACTGCAGAACTGCTAAGCCTGGACATTAGCTGTGTCAGGAACGCCAACAGCAGAAAGAAGGAAGGTGTTATCTTTACCACCACCTGCAGAACAGAGTGAGCAGGTGAAGCTGTGGCTGTGGAGCAGCCCCAATTGCTGGGCAGTATTTTAACAGCGCCTGACAGCTGCGTGTAGCTGAAATACAGGGGAAATCTCCAATTGTTTTGCCCAAAGGAGGACAGCTTGGCCGCAGTGTTTCATGCTGAATTTTGATAGCACCCTGTAGGTAAATATAGGAAGTTTCATCCAGGAAGTAACCAACAAAGCGCTCTGTTTGCCCTTACGGCAGCTGGGTTATGCACCTTCCATCACCTGAAAGGTCCCGTGACGCTTTTCAGCAGTGGGGATTAAGGCACAGCCATGGTAGAAGGCACAAAGTGAATGACTCCAAGGAATGGCCCCTTGCTTCTTAGCACGTGTCCCAGATCTCAGACAACATTTTGATCCTTTAAACACCTGAAAAATATCCTGCTGCTCTTCAGCTCACAGGAGCTTCCCTGGAGCTGCAGGGAGGCTGCACATCGGGGGATTTTTTATATCTAAGGGCATGTTGAGCTTTTTGTTCTCGCTTGGCTCAGAAGATCACTGACATTCTTCATCCCGTTGTGTCCAAGCTGGAGATTTTCGTGCGGCGTTTTTGGCTGTTGTGTAAAATGGGCTAACGAGCTTTCAGCCATTTTTTGGCTCTTTGCCATGTTCTGCTGGCTCCTGTTAGCAGCCCGCCAGCACTTCCCATGATTAACTCTGATTGACGGCAGTTCCAGCTCACTCACAACCCCAGTTACTCATCTTTAAGCAGTTACTGAGTCATTTTGCTCTTCAAACCACCCAAAAGGATGCTAGGTGTATGTCTGTCAGTGCTAAAAGAGCGACCAGAGGTGGAAGCACCTTTTGCCTGAAGTGCCAGTAGCAGCTGTGCAAGGAGCTGCTTGCTGCTTTGCAATGTTCTGGAAATACTTTCTGCATATTTTGCAACAGCGAAACATCCTGACAAGTGATCAAAATGGGCATTTGTTTCATTGGTCCTTTTTGTTGGTGCGGTTTGTTTTGCTCCTTGGCTACATTTATCAGCTTCTTTGGAGGTGTATTTTCAGATTGGAGCTTTTCCTTTTGCAGACATAAGAAGATGAAGCACAGCCACGCCTTAGCCTGCATTTGAAAACGCTCTCGTAAATGCTGTTTGTGCTGCCTGCACTCTGTTCGCTCCTCCTGTGCACCTTGGACCCTGGCTGTGTGTCTGCATTTGTGAGTGACAGCAGAAGGGTCCTTGATGGTCCCCCAGAGAGGCAGTGTATTGCTTGGAATGGCAGCACTACAGTAATGACCCAAACCATGCTATTGGCAAATACCAGTAAAACCAGCTGTGCTGGTTAGAAACCAGACAGATGGCAGCCCCAGCGGGATGCTGCTAAGTGCTGTAATTCCCAAAGTGATGACTGCAGTAATTGCTGAATTTGAGTTTCCAGAAGTTGATGCAGAAACATCATGATTTCACCCTACAACGGCAAGGTGTGAATTTTCCAGAGCCCGTGGGCAGCTGTCATTGCTGCGTCTTGGTGAGGAGCAGGGAGGCCCTGAGCCAGCCCCAGCTTTGCAGCTCCCACCTCTGCACCCATGGACATGTATCACTTAGGTCTGTAAGCCCAGGGTGACTTAATTGCTTGTAAGCTTGAGATTGAAGATGGCAGGAGCCTGAATGAGAGAGGATTCAGCTCAGTGCTATAGCTTTGAGGCTTTAAATCTCATTTTTAGGAAAATTTAAAGGGGAAGATTTCCAGGGACTTCATCTCTCGAGACGTATAGGATCACAGAATCTTTTGATTTGAAAGGGACCTTTAAAGTCCATGTGGTCCTGCAATGAATGGGGACACCCACAGCTCCATCAGCTGTCCAGAGCCCTGTCCAATGTGACTTGGACACCTCCAGAGATGGGGCATCTCTCACCTCTCTGGACAACCTGATCCAGTGCCTCAGCACACTCACTGTAAAAAACTTCTTCCTTACATCCAGTCCAAATCTTCCCTCTTTTTGTTTGGAACCACTTCCCCTTGTCCTGTCACAACGGACCCTGCTGAAGAGCCTGTCCCCTTCCTTATTATAGCCCCCCTTTAGATGCTGAAAGGCTGCTATACTTTCGCTTTGAGCCAATGTTATTACTAGAGCTGCCTGCCTTGTTTACCAAGAGGATATGTTAATGGAGCTGCAGCTGCCCTGCGGCACCCAGACTCTGTACAAGGGACCCCAAGGGCTCCTGCTCCTCCACCACGTGGGGCTGTGCTGGGACACATCCTCCCCTCTGTCTCCGCTGCAGTGTGCAGTGCCAGTGGGGCTGCTGGCCTTCTCCCCAGACATTGGCTTTGGGTGCTCACCAGCACCACCAGGTGCAAACCTACCATGCAAGGAGGGCACGAACGGAGCCAGCATTTCTTCCAGCTCCTGATGCCAGGTGAAGGCCCATTTTGGAAAACATGAGTCTGGCTGTGGCGTGGGGCTCCACCCAGCTTGCACAAGCTGCTGCCCTGCTGCCCGAGGCTCTCGCTCCCACAGCGACGCCAGAGCCCTGCCACAGCACTGCCAGCAGATGCAGATCTGCCTGGCAGCCAGCTGTGCCCCTGCCCAGAGCTCTGCCACACGCAGCCATAGCAGTGCCTGCTCAGCTGCATCCCTCTCGTGGCAAACACTGCAGGTGTCTGTGCTGCTGTGCGAAAATCCCAAATTCTGTGAAAAATGCTGGAGAAAAGCAAGCTGATGTGACCTGCTGCACCCACCTTGCACCCATGGGGCTTTTCAGCGTGGAGGAGCCAAGGCCAGAGAATCAACAGCCTCTGTTCACTGCATCTTATTGACTTTCCAAGGCATGTTTAGACTGTCTTCCAGGCCAAGCCTGCCCCAGGAGTTAAGCTGGAGACGAACTGGGCTATCATGAGGCAAGTGTGTCTGAGACGGACCTGCCTGGGGCCCCACACAAAGTTTGGGCTATAGATTTTTTCTTGATTCTTTTTCATTAGAGGATGAGTAGCCTACCAAAGTCAGTTGAATTGCCTGGTCTTGCGACCCTTGCTCTTTGGCTGAAATGTGGAAAGACAGGGCCAAGTAGTCCTACTCTTTTTTGTGGATCTCAGCAGTACCCAGTGCTGCCAGCACAGCAACAGAGTCAGTTTGGGAAGCTGAAGATGCTTCCCACTACCTTCACAGTGCACACAGGGCTGACTGTGATGAGTGGTGGGATTGCAGCATGAGATACTGGTTTGCCAGAGCCTCATAAGAGCAACAAGAACTATGAAAAATACCTTTTGCGCTCAGGCTCTGAAGCTCATATCTGCCAGAGTGAGGGTAAAGGAGACATGATTTTGGCCTGGATGGTAGGAATGGCTTTTAGTGCTTGTGGGAAGAGTACATCACTTTCCTACAGCTGCCTTGTGTCCCACATATATGTCTCCAGGAAAGTATTCCTTCACATCCCTCTGTGGTGGGCTGGGCCTGGAGTCTCCTGCAGGAGGACCACTGTCAGTGCGAGGTATGTGAACAAGATGGTCTGTGGCTCTCAATTCAGATAGAGCCAGAAACCTTGTCCATCCATGAAAGTCAGCAGAGGAAAGCTCACCCTACATGCCACCCTCCGTAGGTTGGCTTTGGCTATAGAGTACTGTGCATTGCTGTGCTCTAGCATGAGCAGAAGACGTCCAGACAGGCTTCCCACCCTGCTGGGTGTATGATGGGCAGCAGGAGCAAGCTCTGTCTCAGATTGTGCACAAGGTGTAGTGCAGGGCACAAGCACTGAGTGGCAGGGTGAAGTAGGCCATTGGAGTTTCACTGCAAAACTCGGAGCTTTTGGGTCATCCTTGTTTGGACATCCCATTTTGGGTGCAGAAACTCAAAATCAGACCTAAGAACCATTTATCTTACTCACTTCTAAGATATGGTAAGAACTCAGATCCTTGGTTGGTAATTCCAGTATTTCTTCAGCTTTTAAAATGAAAACAGCCTGTCTTAAAATCCTTTGTTACTTTTATTTTTCAGTCCCCCAGAGTGATGACCACTTCCCTGAGTTCTCAGTGTTAACTGATGCTAGATTAAGGTCTAGCTCACTAGATTGCTAGGATTGCTTCATAAGCACCTTCAGATGAAGTTCGTCAGGCCTGGCTGATTTTCCAGCTCAGCAAGCGCTCTGCTTCCAGGTTCTTCAATCTCCAAGCTGTCCCCCTATCCCCTATCCCATCACTAATGGTGATGACCTGCAGATGGATCTCAGCAGTCTCTTCCTGATCCGAATAATGGCCTCATTGCTGTTGCCTGCAGTATTTCTGTGAGGAAAAGTGGAACAGCTTTTCCCCTTACACCCCAGTGTATTTACGGCCGATTTCCCTTGGTCTGTTGTCCTCGCTGCAGGCCATGCTGTGCTGTGAACTTCCTCGTTCTGGTACAACTCACTGTATTAGGTACTTGTCATGACCTACCTTCTATTTTCTGTGTTTTCCTTCTAATCTTTGAAGAATACATTTAGGTTGTCTGCTGTCTCTCCCAGCTCCATCTTTCCTCCTCAGTGGGATGAGTTGCCATGGTCTTCAATCCTTCTTCTTCGTAAGACCTTATCTTTGGTGTATTGAGATGGACTTTCTTGACATCTGTTTTTTTGTTGTTGTTGTTTAATTTTTATGTTATTCGTTCTTTCCACTCTTGGGATTCTTAACTGCTCCTTCATGGTCGTGCTTAGAAATACGCGTTGAACTGTCAGTCTGCTTACAGGCAGAGTCACATTCAGAACAGCTCTTCCATTGGTCGCTTCTCACCTTCTGTATGAAAACCATCATGAGTGTATTCATAGTCAGTATCTGTCCTGCTGTGTCTTTGCCAAAAAATAACTGGGTAGTCAGTGATTCTGCCTTTCCGCCAAAGCCTGAGCTCTGAGCAGCTGCCAGTCCTGTGAAGTGCCCCATCTACGTGATCTTTCTGGCCCAGTGATCTGTAGGCAGTCGATGCGTACGTTCCTTTCCGCGTTACTTACGAGGCAGATTCTTTCAGCCTGCTGATGTCACTGTGAGGCCACTTTCTGCCATCTTCAAAATGGCATTGCAATTGGGGGAAGTTATTCATGCCTGGAAAAGGGCAAACACCACACCCATCTTCAAGAACTGTAAGGAGAGTCCAGGGAATTACAGGCACGTCAGCCTCACCTCTCTCCTGAGGAAGAAAGTGCATCCTGGAACATAAATCCAGGTACAGGAAGAACAAGATATGAATGTGAATGCCAGCACACCTTGCACCAGTCTGACACAATTCCCTTCCGTGAGGAGATGGCAGACGATGCGGATGAGGGAGGAGCAGAAGGCGCTGTGTTCCCTGAATTTAGCAAAGATTTGACGTGGTGTCCTGTAGTTCACTTGCAGCAAACTGCTAAGACGGGGTTGGGACTCGTGGACCATGAGATGGGTGAAAGGAAATGGGTTTGACAGCTGCACTGAGGTGGTTCAAAGCCTAACTAATGGTGTTCCCTGGAGATCAGTGCTGGAGCCAGTACTGCTTCTTGTCTTTGCTAATGATCTGGAGGATGGGATAGAGTACAGCCTGAGCATGCTTGCAGGCTATGTGACATTAAGAGCAATCAATAAACTCGAAAGTAGGATTTCTGTTCAGAAGGATGTCAACAGGCTAGAGAAATTGGCTGATGGAAACCTCATGAATTTTAGGAAAGACAAATACACAGTCCTGCCTGCAGGAAGGAACAACTACACAGAGCAGGATACAGTGGGAGCAGCAGCCTAGGAAGCGGCTTTCTAGAAGAATGTCCTAGAAGGAAAGGGGTACTGATGGACAAGAAGTTAAGCAGACATCACCGGTGTGCCCATGAAGGCCAGCTGCATGCCCAGCTGTGTTAGCAGGAGTGCCACCAGCAGGGAAGGGGAAGGGACCCTTCCCCCGTATGTTCCATGATTCTGTTTGGTGTCCATAGCAGGTGATTTTGGAACAAGGACACATGAGCTACATACCTTCTTTACCTGTCAGCGTGCTCCTCGTGAAGAAAGCATGCTTCTCTAGGTTCATACACTAGTCATGTGCGGAGTCACTCTTACACCAAATGAATCATGATTTTGGTCAGTCTCTGTTCTTCCTGTTTGCATGCCATGTTTCTGGCACATTTGCTTAAGGCAATGCATATTTGTTGCACCAGTGACACCAAGTTTGTGCACATGCATGACCCTTTCAGCTATTTCTTTCTGTGAAGGACGGATGGCTGAGGCAGGCGGCAGCAGGACGAGGAATGTCTTCACAGTTATTAAGAGTGATTTTATCTCCCGTGATGGGGCAAGTGCTATTAAATGCAAAGTTCCAGAGGCAGTTTTTGCTCACGTGGCCATTGCTACTCTTTGAGATTTGAATACTTCATTCTTAGTTTAAAGTACATTTGCACGTGAGATTTCATCTGTCTCCTTTTTTTTCTTCTTCTTCTTTCTTTTTCTCCCTTCTAGGTAATAGCAATTGTGATGGATCTGTTTACAGACATGGAAATACTGTGTGACCTGCTGGAGGCCTCAAGCAGACGGCACGTTCCTGTTTACCTGATCCTGGATGAAGAGTACTTGAAGCATTTTGTGGAAATGTGCAATAAAATGTCTCTCACTCAGGACAGTTTCCCAGTAAGTGTTCAGTCACACTCCAGATGTGACAACCAAGTCTTGGAACCGATAAAAATCGATTGTTCTATTCATTCTGCCTGGCCTTTGGGACCTATCTGTTGACCTCTCTCAGTCCTTGCCCTAGGAAACTGAATTGCAAGATCTAACTGGCTCTTAGTTCAGATCCCTGAGACCCCTCAGATCAGCTTTAGGTTCTGCCCAGAGCTACAGTGCAGCTCTGTGGCAGAGTGCGGGGAAGGAAAGCTGTGTGCCCCTTTGGAGGTCCTGATGCAGAAGCCACCATTTCCTCCTAGCCTCCTCTCGGTGTAAAACCAGAAGTTAAAAAAGTCACGTCAGGATTTATTTCTGGGCTTGTGATTCTTTGTGGCCCCCGTGTTCATGAAGGATTTGTGAAAAGCTTGATTCCCCACTCATTGGGGTGTCATCAGCAACCATCTGTGGTGCCCACATATGCACTAGGAGTTCATATTGCAGTGAAACAAGCACTTTTGGCTCAGAAACTCCCAGGCTCAGAAATGTCCCCCAGCATCGTGCTGTCCCCATATAACTTTCTGGCTGTCACCTCCCAGTGGAGGATGATTTTGATGTCATTTTTCAGTCCTACAAGGCCAACACTACTGGCTGTGCTCCTTCCTTCATGCTTTCCCTGGAGGAAGGGGCTGGTACTCTTCCAGCCATCCATTTAATCTTTTCCTCACCTTGGGAAAGCTCAAAAACAATGTTTTACAGCATTTTAAATACAGATAGATGCAATTGCAAACATCTAATTTCTTCCTCGTTTTTAACCTGTCTACACAAAGTGTAATTTAGAGATGCAGCTTTCTTTCCCCGTGTTGGTGATGCTCTGTCCTTTCTCACTTCTCACAAGCCAGATCCATTCTGTCTTGCCTCTTGCCATGGCAGCTATTAGAGAAAACTACTTGCCAGAGCATGTTTGGTTTCATAAACAAATGAGTCCCTAATGTCACCTGGCTGATCCAGATAAATTCCACTTCTTCAAAATCTATTTTATTCACTTCTTATCCAAGAATCTGGCCATTGTTTTAAATTCAAATCAGCATTGGTTTACATCCATGGAGATGCCTGTGTCTTTTTGTTAGACCCGATGTCACCTCTTGTGCTTTAATGGTTAATTAACGCTTTCCTCCCCCATTCAGTGACTCATCTGCAGGTTTCAATGTGAAGTGCCCCTTAGGCTGCTGCATCTCAAGCAGTACATTAACACACGTGCTCTGATATTCACATCTAACTGGAATGAATGTACATATTTTATTCCTGGTTCTGGGTTAAGACCGGATATGATGGAAAATCTCCATCTGGAATAATTAATGACAACTCCAAGTGTAATGGGGAATTTTCTTACTTCTAAGAACTTTGTGTGAGCCTAATGCTGTTGAATCTTGCTGCTGAGCATCAGCAGATCTGACAGGAGTGCATCAAGCATTGGCAGCGGTCCCAGCAGAAGGTTTTTGTATCTTTTTCAAAGGGACATCTATTGAAGCTAAAAGTATGCTAAGTGGCAGTGACACATGGTGGTCTGGGTTTCCTGCAAGACTGCAGGATTCTCATCCTGCTTGGACAGCTGAAGGTCAGGATTGCCAAGGGGAAGAAGAGGATGAAAAAATTGAGCCAGATGTCAGAAACTCATCCAGTCTTGGAAAGGAGAGAGGGAGTGAAGGTGCACTATGGAAATACATCTATGGGATATCTCTTACTTGTACTTGTTTCAACTTATGTGGGGGAGAAGGAAGCTGCTCTCTGTGAGAACCACTATTACTGAAACCTCAGCACTGGAAGAAAGAAAATTCCTGAATTGAATGGCAACAGGATTAGGTGATCACCTCCCCAAGCATATCTTGCTCTATTTCAGCAACTTGTGGTGGCACTTCATAGTAGAACAGAACAATTCAGGTTGGAAGGGACCTCAGGCAGTCATTAAGTCCAGCATCCTGCTCAAAGCAGGATCACCTGAGAGGTCAGCCTGAAAATCTTCAAGCACGAAGATGGCACAGCCTGCTCTGTAACGCATTCCAAAGCCAGGCTGTTCTCATGAGGAAAGATTCATGGTTCATCCCTTCTCATAGGTGACAACTCAGGAATGTTATGGGTTGCAAGAATAAGTGAGATCCACAGTGCAAAGCTCAAGAAGCTTCGGCTCTGTCCCTGCTAAAAGTTTCAATGAGCACAAGAGAAGACTGGAAAAGTACTTGGACAACTACAAGTAACATGAGGGGCAGCATCATAAATGGTTGCCTTGTTCCTGCTCTTCCCCTATCTCCCTATCATGGCCTATGGCAGGAGATAGACTATAGGATTAGTTGGACCTTTGTCTAGAGGAGATTCATGAAGCCCTGAAGGCAATGGTACTGTTTGCATGGGCGGAGAGACTTCCTCAGCATGATGTGTGTGTTGAGCCTTTCCCTCCCTGCCGTGCTGAGCTCCCAGCAGACATTTCCAGGAAGCCCACCTGCTGCCCACAGGGCTCTGGCAGATGAGGAAGGTCAGAGGAAGCAGAACTGAGCTGGGTCTCCTGCAGGTGGTTGCCCCCAGCTCCTCCCCGAGGCACAACTTCTGTGCCAGGAGCTGCACATGAGGCCACAGACTGGGCCAGCCGGTCCTGGCTGCGTACAGGCAGCCCTGCAAGCCCACGCTGCTCATCCTGCCCTGGAGGAGGAGAGGCCACAGCCATTCCCAGGAGCAGCTGCTGGAGAGCAAGAAGATAGATGGGATATGGGTCTGTGCACTGTGGAGGACGTCTGCAGGCAAATCACAACTATTTGTCATAGAATCATTGAGTCATTACGGTTGGACAAGACCACTAAGATCATCTAGTCAACCCACCACCACCATGCCCACTAAACCACGTCCCTCAGTGTCACATCTACACCTTCGTCCTTTGTCTTCAGCTTGCCAGTTGGGTGTTAATAACTGCTTTCTAGCTGGACTGGAAGATGCTGCGTGGTGTGGGCCAGCACCCACCTCTGCAGAGGAGCAGAACAGCCCTGGCAGCTTGTGCCACCCATAGTGACCACTGCGGCCACAGCGTTCCCATGTGTGGATGCTGGCACTGGGCAAGGATGACCTGCCCACAGAGGTGTGCCTGCCCAAATGCAGTGGGGACAGGTCGTGGCACTTCCCGGCGTGCCAAGGCCACTGCAGGTGGCCATGAACTGGCCTGGAGGGGCAGAAGGGGATGGGCTGGCAGGTGCCTGGAGGTGCTGCCTCACAGATGCTCGAGTTGTTTTGTTCGGCACCATTTCCTATAGACCTGTCCAGTAACTGCTTCCAGCAGCTGTTCTCCTCTCCCGTTTGCCCCACCTCAGGTGCAAATAACTCCTATTACTGGCAAAAACCTCTCCTTAAGACAAAGGCTCCTGTTGGATACCAGGAACCTCATTTCCTTTTTTTTGTGCTGGACAGTAGGTTTCATGGCTGAAGGTGGATCAGGGAAGCTCTTAAGACAGGTGAGAATCAGCTCTGCATTCACCTGAATGCAGCCACGTCAAATGTTAATATCATTTTAAAATATACTGATAAAGGGAACTCTTAAAACACGGACATACTTTCTGTAAATCTCTTATATTGAGCAGTATTTTTTTAAGAAGTCTGTCAGTATAGAAAAATCAGAACAGTGTACTCAATTTGATGGAAAAGCAGTTGTTTTGGGTCTGAAATCAGCTTTAATGCAGAGCCACAAACTAGTGAGGTTAGCTGAGTATTAGCAATATTCTGGAATAAACTGTACTCTTGCATACTTCAGAAATGATTTTTTTTTGTACCTAAGTACAACTTCTTCGTATTTACTGGCATTTTTATTTTATTTAAGCATGCATTGTGATAGAATACGTGGGATGTGGGACCCAGCAAACACTTGCTGCCACGCTGCATTCTACCTCTGGGCACAGCAATCCTGCATGAGATTTCATTGCTGACAAATTGTGGAACATCCAGGTTTGGCTCAGTGTGTGTTCCTTTACCATCTCTGCTTTCTTTGATTTCAGAACATGCGCATACGATGTCTGAGCGGAGACACGTACTACAGCAAAGCAGGCAAGAAATTTGTAGGCCAGGTTCTGGAGAAGTTTATCCTGATTGACTGTGATCAAGTTGTTGCTGGTACATACAGGTGAGAAAAAACAGCAACTGCTGACGCTGCATAATACTCCATAATTCCTATTTTCTTTTCCCTGTGATAAAGATGTGCAGCTGTTCTTCTTCATCTTACCTTCATAAGTGTCAGTTTTCACTCTGGTGCTTCATCCCTCACTCCATCAGCTCGCCTTACTTTGCTGTTTTGTTATCAGATCGCATTAACTGCCTGTCTGCCAACACTGACAGCTCCTGGAAGCAATGTCTATGAGTATCACCTAATTTCTTAACGATGTAAAAAACGCCCTACCAGGTCAGACGTTGCCCCACCTTTCCTCCCACAGTGCACACAGTGTTTGCATCAGGCCTGGTGGAGAGCGCTTCCCTGCTTGTTCCCTTCTGGGTCTGTTTTGGATCTATTATTCCTGACAGTGACCAGCTTTCATTGAATTTTTTCAGCTGCCGTTGTGCAGTCAGCGTTTTTACCCAGTTACCTTTCCTGAAATTGAATTTGCACGTGCTGCGTTTATTTAGATTGCTCTCTCCCACCACAGGGTTGAAGTTGTACTGTGAGCAGCATTACAAAGTGGCTCTTCCACTTCTGCCTCTTGAACTGAGTCTCATGCATCATTCCTGCCCACATCCTGAACGGCATCTTTTCTTGTGGGTCAAACCATTTAGGCTAGTTAATTCTGGGAAGTAATTGCTTATTTCTTCCAAGAAGTTTTTCTCCACAGCTCATCCCCTTGAAGCATTGGCCTTATTCTGGATGTGAAACCTCCTGCTCTTACACCTGCCCTAATTTTGCAGCTCTAATCTCACTTCACACTGCCTCATGCTGTTGCACTCTGTACTGTCCACCACAAACAGTGCAACTCCCCAGGGCGGATTGTTTGGCCATTTCTATTGATGCCCAGCAATACTTCATCCTCCCTCCACCAGATCTCCTTGAGCACTGCTCTCTCTCCTTCTTTCTTACTCTTTTCCATCCCCTCCCCAGAGCCAATAACCATCCAGTCAGCCACTGGTGCTGGAGCTCCTAGCTGCACTTCCCTTCTGCTGGATCACCACTGAGTGTAGAGTTCTCCTTCTACCAACCTCTGCCACTAAAAGATACAAGTACTCGATCCCAACTGGCTATGTCAGTTTTCTATTTAAACAGCAATGGAGAGCAGTGCCTTTGCTGGCATTTTGGCCATGCTAACACAGGGATGTAAGATGGGGTGCCTGGAAACATCACTCCATCTCTTTTGGCTGCACCGGGGGTTTGGATAACTGAAAGTACTCATTTTAAATGGCTAAAGTGGGGCATGGGTCTGCTGGGCTGCACTCCACAGCCGTGAGAACGTTTTGTTAATTTCCCTGTTGCCCTGAGTCAGGGGATTGCTTGAAACACAGATCAGTTCCCTGGGTCAGTTCCTCTCCTGCTGACCTGGAGCAGGGCTGTGGATCCAACGCCTGCTTGCTCTCCCTAGATCGCTGTAGCTGAATCTTCTCAGGTTGTAGAGGATATCTGCTCAGCTGGATATGGCCTTGTGTCTGATTCCCTGCTGTCCCACCAACCACCCCATGTTCTGCACTGTAAGAAATTGTCTCTGTCTATGGAATTTGGACAGAAAAATTTCCGCAGGAGAAAAGCAGGTACACTGCAGCTTGGCACTGTACCAGGTACAGCAGCCAGATAAATAACTCTCCCTGCAGTTGGGAAAATGAGATTCAAAAGACGAGAGCAATTCCTGAATGAAGCCAGATACTTTGCTCAGGAGACTTGTGTGCCAGGATCAGAGGCTTCAGGAGCTCTGGGGCTGGATGTTGTGCGTGCTTCTTCATGCTCACTTTCCCACAGCAGACTTTTCCCACCTTGATTGTTCCGTCTTTGGCTTCCACAACAGCCTCTGGCAGTGAGTTATGCAATTTAATTTATGCTTTGTGTGAAGTGATCTATTGTGTTTACATTGTCTTCTGCTGTACAATTATATTTGGTGCCCCCAAATTTCCATAACTCGGGAACAGTAAATCACTGTTCTCTATTTATTTCCTTGACTGCATCCATGATTTCATCTTCCTCCATTACAGTCTCTGTGTGAATCATCCCACAGCTGAAGTATCCTTAGCTCTTCAGTCATTTCTCATGCAGAACTTCCAGACCTTTAATCATTATTGCTGTCTTTTGAGAGACAAATTGACCAGAACTGCATGAGGAGGTCAGATATCCCCACTCACTATACCTCAGCATAGGTGTAAGGGGGACGTCCCTCCTTGTCTCCACTGTGGCAGTTCCCAGCCTGCTGTTTGCCTTTCTGGCCAGTGCGAAGCACAGCAACGATTCTTGTTTAGAACTGTCCATGGGCACTCTGGCCATTTTCCTAAGGAAATATTATTTCCTGTAATATCTGAGAGCTCATCAGTATATACAGAACATCCGATTTTTGCAGCAGTTTGCTTCTAGTGACGTAGAATTTTGTCCACCATCACGTCACTATACCATAAAATCCTCTCACCACTTCTTACATTGTCCAGTTTTCCCAGGACAATGTTGTTGGGTACAAACTGCTTTCATACAGCTTTCCAAAACTTGTGGGATTCCAGTGAGTACATTAAAATTATCGTTAGCGTTTGCTTCCCATCTTCATCCAGCTCCTTGGGAAGACATTCTTCTATAGTCCACGATCACTACAGCTTTCTAAGAGTCCTCGATGAACGGCTGTGTCCAGATCTCTGTAAATTCACCCATCGCACACCAAGCAGACGGTGCACGTCTGTGTGCTCCCTGCCTCCTCCAGAGAACGGCAGCAGGCTTTGAGGCATGGCTTCCTTCCACAGAAACATGCTGAGTCTTCAGCGTTATGATTATAGCTCTGTATGCATCTCATCATGTTACTTTCTGTTTGCTTCTACCAGTCTGTTCAGTATGGAAATAAGCCTGGCTGCTTCGTAGTTTTCCAGTAGCTCTTTGAAAGGTTCGCATTGACGACTTCCATTCCTCTGTTACCATCTTCAATTTGAAATGATAGGTTATTCTCTGGTTAATAATTGGAAAATTGCTGACTTCCATTTTTTGAAGGCTATTTATTTTAGTGTTTTCTTTTACTGTGCCTTTTGACTCTGGTGGCATTTGGATGCGTTGTCTTTATTTTATAGCTATATTTGCTCTGAGCCTCCAATATAGCATCTTTAAACAATCTTCACGCAGCCTCTTTGAGCAGTAACCTCTTTGGTTACTCATTTAAATTATTAATAGCATTCCTCACTTTCTCTTTTCAGTTAAACATTACTGTTGTGGATCATTTGCCTCCTGAAAGTATATTTGATAGGTGTATGTCATCGTTATTTTTGCAGAGTGGCGTTTCCGAAGGAGCTATTTCTCCTTTTGTAGGTTTTCTGGTTAGTTTCTCCCCAAAGCAGACATTTATAAAGGGCAAAATGCAGTTTCTGCAGCTCTCCTAGTCATGGCCTCTATTCAGTGCAGATATAACTGATGATCTCTATATTCCTCTGCCTTGAGCACACCATGTGCACTGTCAGTTCACAATACAGACCCACTCCTACATTTTCCATATTTGGGAGTGGAATTGTAATCTAGCAGGGATATATTTCATTTAATGATGCATTATTTACATTATTTGACTCATTTTTCTTTACTGTTTTGTGCCATTCCCCCAGCAACATATCTCCTATTCATTCTTTCTGTAAAATTTCTACACTTCAGTTACACTGTTCCCCAATTTCTTTTCCTCAGTCCCTTTCTGAGATGATTGCTGCATCAAAGGCATCATTCCAGCTCAGGCATCTCACAATATCTGTCACTTTAGTTTAGAAAATCTGTGCATGTGTCTATCTGTGTGTATCTGTGCATGTGTATCTGTGCATGTGTATCTGACCAGGCTGCCCCACACTGACCACTTCTCTAAACACAGCTTTATTTTTTCAGCTGTTACTTAACTCTAAATCCTTACTGGCGTTTCATTGATTTCCCCCTGTCCTTAAATCAGAATACGTTTCTGCTTTTATTCCTAAGTTAGAGTGGGCAGCTTCAAACTATTCTGCACATCACAGAATCATAGAATCATAGAATGGCCTGGGTTGAAAAGGACCACAATGATCATCTCATTTCAACCCCCCTGCTACGTGCAGGGTCGCCAGGCACCAGACCAGGCTGCCCAGAGCCACATCCAGCTTTGCTTCAGATTCTCATTTCAAACCTCCTGAAATGTTCTTTTACTTCTCTGTTCCATTCTGAATGTTGTAGAGGGAGCATTTTATGAGGCTATCAGAAAATCCTGTTTGCTTTCTGCCTCCTACTTAGATGCTCTTTTACTTTACATCCAAGAACCTATACAGGCATTGACCACTGGCTTCTCTGTAGTGCTCCATAACTTCGATCTGCCATCCTTCATCCTACTGTCCTTGATCTCATCTTCGTTCTTTGCTGACATCCTGTCTGAGCCTTCCCACATCTATTTACTTTCAGTACTTCCCTGTTGAATTGCATCTGTTTATTTCAGGACCCTTTTCAAGTTCAGGCCCACGCAGCTCCTCCCCATTGGATCTGATTTGCTGATGTAATGGGTGCACACTCATTCATGAAGCTGCTTGTGGAGATATGGAATAGCAGCTGAGATCCCTTCGAGTTTCAGTACATATTCAGTGCTGACAGTGAATCCATCCGGGTGCTTGCTTTGCCCACACTCTTTCCTTCAGGGGGGGTTTTCTTTCTCTGTTCTTGACCACTCAGGCATTTGGTGTCTCTTAATTCTTCAGCTGTAAGAAGAGAATACTTTCTCCTCACATAGGTTCTCATGTCTTGCCTGAACTTCTGACCTCTCCCCATGTCTGTAGCTGTAAGATTCCCTCCTCTGACTAAATATTTCCATTGCTTCCCTTCCTCACCATTATGTTTCCTGTCATTAACAGGGACATTCCTGTCATTAAAAAGGAAAACAAGGCTCAATGAGCTAAGCAGATATCCAGAAAAAGCAATAATCTAAAATTCAAAATATAATTGTATCTAGTTAGTATCATTCTGGGCACCAGAAG